CTGTTAGCTTAGCCCACAGTGAAGTAGTCTACTTTTGCTCCATTTTTTACATTAGTCACTTAATATCTTCACAGAGAAATCTGAGTGTTTACATTTCGCTCCTCTTTCAATCAGTGCAGGCAAACTTTTAGCAAGCCATTCATACTAAATCAGTTGTGCAGCCTCCCCGTCTCCCCATCCTCACACCCCTACCAACGAACCAGCCCTGTCTCCCCATCCCCATACCCCTACCAATGAACCAGCCCTGTCTACCAATCCCCCTACTAATGAACTAGCCCTGTCTCTCCATCCCCACACCCCTACCAATGACACACAACTGTATATATCAACCAAACCAGGTGATAAATTTCAATTTAGTATCAAGAACTGTGTAAAAAAAATGGATGTCATGTAACTTCCTCCTATATAATTCAGACAAAGACAGAGGATGTTCTTCTAAATCCAAAAGCTGCTAGAAATTAACCAGCCCTGTCTCCCCATACCCCTACCAATGAACCAGCACTGTCGTTCCATAACCCCACCAATGAACCAGCCCCACTCCCTGCTGAAGAAGGATGTGAGCAGCATTGTGTTGAATGACATGGCAGTTGGCATAATTGCTGGGAGTTCATGGGAATTTCTTTTTTATTAATATGTAAAAAAGAAAAATGATTGATACTTTTCAATGATTTCAATGAAAATTATTTTTACACAATTTATTTTCAAATAATGTATTCAAGAATTTTACCATTACAATTACATTTAAACTGTAAAAGCCACTAATCTCCAAAAATTCTTTCTATCAAATGTTGGAATGTTCCAGGGGCAATACATAATCCAAAAAGCCTTCAGAAAGCAGGCTTGCTATCTTGCATGGCTACTGGTACTTGATTGTAGCTACTAGCAAGGGGTAAAGAACTCCCTCAGTCCCAGAGGGAGGGCTCCAAAAACAGAAGACATGAAGGGAACTAATCCTTGATGGCAGGCAACTGTAACAAATGGAAGGGACCCGGCAGGCACTCTAACAGCTGGACCACGTGGCACAGTAGCCCTACCAACAACTCCAGAACGGGAGAGGTGATCAAAAACCTGGCATTCAGTCAGGGCTGACTTCCACCCTTTCTCAGCCATCCGTACTGCAGGAGAATGAAACAGAATATCACTATGTTTCCAAACAACTGTTGGTAGCAACGTGTCAAAACCTTTATGCCTAAAAGGCCTGGTACCAAATCTTTCTGATGCTGTATAACAGAATCAGTTGAGTCTTTTACGACCAATATACCCATGCCAGGCAAGAATTTACCAGGTACCCACTATAAGGAATATCAAGTCCATTGGCCACCTTAAGCTGAAGCCAGTTACAAAACCGTAAACAGTTTTGAACCCAAGGCTGAAAGTGTTGCCTGAAGTAACTAGAGATGGGCCACACTTTTTCAGTTCCGACCCGATTCCAATACACAACTACCGATACTGATACAGATTTCGTGTGTTTAAGGTGTTTAATTTTCCAAAAACTAAGCATATCTATAATGGAGGCTGCAACTGAACTGCTGGTGTGTGACCCCCTGCACTTTTTCACCTGATGCACCGACCTCTGTAGTGCATATGTTTCTTAGTTCACCCAGTGTACAGTGAGACTTATGAGAAACATTGGGCTCACATCTGAGGTCCAAATATTAGTTGCTCATGGCTTTAACATCTAACTGCACTGCTAACTGTGATGACACCCAGTTGTACAGTTTGGGTATAGCTGTCTCTTAAATGTATTTTCTGGATGGGAGATTATACCTGGGCTCTAAATGCTCCAACCGGCTGCAAAATCCGACATTTTCTACTAAAGATAGTGGTTGGTCATAGAGTATCATGAAGTTAAGCAACTTCTCTGTAGTTCCTTTAACCTTTGGGTTGTCTGCTGGAAGTTTATCGTGTTTCTGGAAAGCATCAGTGAGAGTCTGCCGATATTGGATCTGATAGAGGGTCCCATCTCTAGAAGTAACTCTCAGTAATGGTAGTCACCATGGAACCTTTATCAAGCAGAGAAGGAACAAGTATGCCACCCATACTAACATCTTCCACAGGACATGTGCCTTCCAAAGTACCACTTAAGTTATTGGATATGGGGCCACAAACCCTCAAGCAAATAACTTAATCAGTGACATCAAAGTACGGGAAAACTCTTGTAAGTTTTCACTCTCCCTCTGTCTACGTTGGAAGAACTGTTTTTGTGCTTCTAGATAACACTGAGTGCACCCAAAGTTCTCTTATAAAATTGTAAAAATTTTCACTATCACAATCAGTAGCTGTGCAAAACCTATTTTCAGATCTAGTCTCACCAACAAGAAGGTCACATATAAAAAGGGCTTTTTCTGCTACAGCAATGTGGTGAACATTCAAATATTTATGTACCTCTTCCATCTATTCATCTTTTCCTAATGCATCATATGTAGCTTTATCAGAAAACCTAGAAAATTCATGGTCCCTAGGCATAGGTCTTGCTGTAACCTAACATTCTCAGCTTGCAGCCTTCATACCTGTTCCATCAAAGCTCTTATCTGCTCCTCTCTATCATCAGACAATGTAAAAATAATAAAAAAAAAAACAAAAAAAACATAAGAACTCAAGCAAAACAAATTCTCCAATATCAGTACAAAGAGGAAAATAAAGGAAAAGAAAAAAAGAGAAACAGCAGCTCAATCACCACCACACAGTAACAGTGTCTGTTCTTGTCTTCAGTGTTGTGCAATTAGCCGCTGTTTTGCCTAAAAACTAAAATCCAAAACAAACATTCAAGGCCTGCTATCACCTACAGACAAGCTGTCATCTGAAATGATCTTGCTGACTATGCCAAATGCGGGTGTGAGCAGCGGCGCGAGTCCCCTTATTTAGCACAAAATATCCGACTATGCCACTCTCAATTTAAGGATAAGAGCAACCTATGAGTTATAAACATATATACAAAAAGAGTGGTTAAACACAAACACCATTTATTGATTCCCCTACAATGTCTGTTCAAATAAATGAATGTCAGATGGCACAGGATGACACTTCAGACAATTCAATAGAAACCGGAAGGTAAACAAAAGCTTAACTGTAATCAGGTTCCGTCTTAAATATGTTTATATGGCTAATACAACCTTCAGTGATTCCCAAGCGTTTAAGTGATACCCACCGGATTAAAGCAAAGCACTCCACCTCAAAACAAATAACCAGTTAATAAGCTTTCCAACAAAATAATAAAATGTATATGTATATGTGTGTATATATATATACATATATATATATATATATATATACACACACATAAATGCAAATCCTCAACCCATACACAACACTCACTTCTAAATACCAATGAGTTTTAACCATATCAGCAAGGGTATGGCAGATTGCGAAGCAAATTTAAAAGACAAGTTAAAATATCATAAAACCATTATCTAATCCCAACAGTAACAGCAGGCCAAAATAAAAAAAAAGAGAAAAGAAATTACAATATGACCAATCGAATTACAAATTCCAGAACATCTTTAAGTAAACTAAAATTAACATCACCTAATGTATAAAGACACTTACTAACTAAGCTCTGGTTGTAGTCATCTGACAACAGTAAGAAGGTTTCAGGGGAGCACAACTCGGGGTTATGTTGTGAAGAACACTGGTCGCCTGAAGCGTGTACTGGTCTCCCACTAGCTCTAGTTAGCAAAGTAGCATGAAATCTCTCATTATGCTAAAGGACTGAACAAGTAACAATACTACAATCACAAAAGTACATATCGTGTGCAGCACTTGTTTACCAACCCCTGGTGACAGCCGCCTCAACAGCAGACAAATTTATTTCCACTTCCAAGCAGGCAGGCCAGTTTCAAACAACAGGGGACTAAAAATTTTGCTGTGTGACACGTATGTGAAAAATCGGCACCAGGCTTATTCTCTAAATACTGTATCACTTCAGTGCAGCATCTAGGACGCTCTGTCGCTTTGCACGCTCAGCCTGAGTGAAAGCGGTCACCACTTAACATGGACGGCGAAACGAAATACAAGACTTACTATGTCGCTCACGCTAAGCAGATGCAGTATGTGTGAATCAGCCCTGGGACCTAGTGCCATACATTTCGCCTATGACTCCAGCAGCATAACCAAAAAATAGAACACAGCGAATTGTGACAGCAAAGGCAATTCCAGATCAGCAGAACTAAAGCTGAGACTACTGCAAATAAGAGTAATTGTTCCAGTTTTAGTTGTAATGAAGGTACACACGTGTGCCGCTGTGCAGCAATTCCAAGCACTATTCAATTTCTCAGCGCATTACAGCACACCACTAAGCATTTTGCCATTAAATCAAATCATGTTTATTGTCACATTTACACAGGTGCGAAGGTGCGTGAAAATCTTAGGTGCGTAGCCTCCTTGTAGAATTTATATACACAATATACACTAGTATTGCACTATTTCCAATGTACAGTTGTACAGTAATAAGTTATGAAATAAAACTATGGTATGTACTGTTGTACACATTTCCATATGAGCAGTTAGTGAGTCTGAGGTAAATAAATAAATGAGATGCAGGGTACACAGGGGATAGAATATTGATATAGAAATCTTGCAGATTATACAAGATATGGATAGAAGATGTACAAGATGTCAATCTATATGTGTAAGTATAGATTTGCTAGTTTTTTGTACATCAGAGCCAACACCCCAAGGCTCTAGTCCAAAGTGATTGGCATACAGTCATGTGTTTTTAGGCATGAATTCCAAAAAATGTATTAAGGCTTGTAGGCTAGGTCTGAGTCTAGACAGTCACTTGGGCCTTGTTCTGGGTCTTTGGAGTCTTGGATGTGGGTGTCCAAGCCTTAGTCCCAAGGCATATGGGCTAGTGCCTGACTGGGGCTTGGGTAGGCTGTGGCCTACCCACTTACAGGGAAAGGAAAAAATCAGCTTTACTTTTAATGTCAATGGAACCAGACTTTTTTCCAAGTTATTTTGGGCCATTTATATGCATGTGAGTGTATCTATTTTGGTCTGACCTCTGCTCTCCTGGTGTGCCCAGAACTCCTGCACTGTTTTAGCGATGTCACAATTTTCTTCCCGGAGCTCTTTTTGCCACTGTCTCAACTCCTGCACATCTGGACGCACACGAATCTACACACACACACACAAACAAATGCAGCCTTATCATAAAGGAAATTAACTAACATACTTAATTTACTTACATTAGCATGATTATATAACATATAGCACCATTGTATGCTGTACAAAAAAACATGTTTAGTTTATTTTCTTGTATTCAGACGATGCTGAGTCAGCATCTACGACATATAATTGCCAAAAAGGCGATTACATGCTAGAGCTGGCATGGTTTTGAGAAAAATGACTATTATTATGTGCTACTTTGTAAAGCTCTCTGAAATTGCTAATAAATAGGTGCTACTGTTAGTCACCTAGACAATTTTTTATTCTGAAAACATTTCCCTAACTTTGTGGGAAATGTTTTCAGTTTGTAAGTTTTTTTAAGCTAGAAGAATGTTCCTCAGAATGAAAATATTCAAGAATGTTATCTTGGGGTATTCCATAAATGTTCAAAATATATAGTTTTCTTAATGTTCCTGTAGCATTTTTAAGTTAGATAAACATTCCCAGAACACTGCCTTAATCTCAATTGCAAAGACAATTAAACATTCCAGGAGTACAATCTGGGAATCTTCTGAGAATGTATATAGGTACAGTTTTTGTAATGTTCTTATGATCTTACAGAAAACAAACAAAAAAATAAAAAAAGACAAGTCATATTTTTGTCTCTACCAGTTCTGTTTTCCTGCCCACCTGTCATAGTGAGAGTGTGGGGTGGTTTGAATGGAATAAGGCAACAAAAGGTGGCAATGCAGTGTACAGAACATTTATTAATAAAGTGCATGGAAAGAGGAATGGGAAAAAAAACTGTAAATCAGGATTCAGGATGTTAAAGAGTGCAGTGCAGAAGGGGGGAGAGAGAGATCAGTCTGTTCATCTCCCCTGGGGAGTAACACTGACGTGGTGGTGGTGTGTTAGTGTGTGTTGCGCTGGTACGAGTGGATCAGACACAGCAGTTGTAGTTTTTAAACACTGTGTCCACTCACTGTCCACTCTATTAGACACTCCTATCTTGTCAGTCCACCTTGTAGTTGTAAAGTTGGAGACGATAGCTCATCTGCTGCTGCACAGTTTGTGTTGGTCATCCTCTAGTCCTTCATCAGTGGTCACAGGGCGCTGCCCACAGGGCGCTGCTGGCTGGATATTTTTGGTTGGTGGAGCATTCTCAGTCCAGCAGTGTTACTGACGTGTTTAAAACTCCAGCAGCACTGTTGTGTCTGATCCACTCAGACCAGCGCAACACACACGAACACACCACCACCACATCAGTGTTACTGCAGTGCTAAGAATGATACACCTCCCAAACAGTACCTGCTCTGTGAGGGTCCATGGGGGTCCTGACCACGGAAGAACAGGGTAAAAGTGGGCTAACAAAGTATGCAGAGAAACAGATGGACTACAGTCAAAAGTGCACCTATATAGTAAGTGGAGCTGATAAAAAGGACATTATATATATATATATATATATATATATATATATATATATATATATATATATATATATATATGCACACACACACACAGCATTATATTCCCTATTATCTGGGCAGCTGGAAGAGAAATTGAACATGATCTAAACAATGAATGATTCTCTCTCTTCCCTTATGCTAAAAGATAAAGAGAGCCGCAGAGGCTGAAATACATATCAAAATCTCTAATCCCTCCTCCTTTTCTCCTCTCCTTCCCATACAGCCCCTCATTCTCTAACCTCCCCTGTCCTCACTCCCAATGTAAAACTAGGTCTGTTACATAAGCAGTGCTGTGGTGGTGAGGAGAGGATGCTGATGGTTAATTCAGTGGGTGTCGGCAAGCAGTTGCAATCCTAACAGTGACAGGAGATTCCATACAAATGGAAATAAAGGGTAAGGGTCAGCAAGAGAGAAAAGGAGAGAGATGTGATGGGGGGTTGCGTTTCAACTGCGTGTGAGTGACTGAGTGTAAGAGCAAAATGTATATTTTCAGTAGCAAGTGTTCAGAGCAAAGGATCAAAGTGTATGACATGCTGTCAGTACATGGTTCATCTGAATTGTGTTCACGTGTGTAGTATTTCCCAGATATACACACATGCGCACAAACTCACAAGCAAACAAACGGTGAGATTCTAACTGTTACTGGCATGACTTGTCAAAGCAAGTGAGATACATGCCTGCAAGCATCCGTGAACACATACAAGGATTCACAAGACCCACAGTCATCAAGAGTAAAGATGTGGGGGAAGGGTAACAAAGTACCAACAGAATAACAGATCTACTGGGTAGGAAGATCATATCATTTTTAAGCATTTAATTATTAACATGTTTAACATTTATTTAACAACTATTAAGCCCGTTGTTAGGATACCAAAAGTCATTTCCTTCTGGTAAGACAAGGCTGTGTTTGAATTACTGTATCAAGAAATGGATCAGACAATGTGTAGTAAGTGGACATAGCCACATGCAGCTTATTACATGTTCAAATACAGTTCATTACTGTATAAAACAATCCTTTTAAAATAATGGAGTCATCTCACAAGTGATACCAATGCATTGCACACAGATGAATTTTTGCAGCAAAGTGCAATTAAATGAGAGGTTAACCTAACAAGGCTGCTTCAAGTTAACCTAATTAAATCAAGAGTAAACAGAACTTGAAAAGACAGAGTACTGTCAGCTCAGTTGAATCTATCTGAAATTAGCTTTAGTTGCTACAGAAGTGTGGATCTCTAAAAAATTTAAAGTACCAATAACTCAAAGATAAAGTTATTTAAGTTTGAACCTGTTAAATAATTGTTGCTTTATTTTTTTTCAAGGCAATACGTTTGCATTATTTTAAGTGAAGGTAACTACATTTATGTTTGCTGTGAAGGCATAAGTGTCACGATTCCAATTTGAACAAATACTGACTTGATAAACATTGCATTGCTCATACGTATTTAAGAGAATAAATTTCATGCAATGCGTTTAAATCAAAAATGATCGTGAAGAGTTTCATTCCAAAATCCCGTAACACTATGAAAAAAAAACCAGAAAATTCTTGAAAGTTGCCTATAATGCGTTTTGGAACAAAAGCCTTTGTATACTATCTATGCCTGTCCTTGTACATAATTTGCATACGTGTGGAGGAGAAGAATGCATACTTGTGTGAAACCTGTATAAGCTGACTACATGACTGATTATGAGCAGCTCAGTGCGAGTGTGGGAAGCACCGTAAACTCAACAAGTAACCTATTAAAGCATCTAATTACTCTAGTAAAAGAATTGAAAAAAATAAACTGATGGATCAAAAATGCATGTGAATGTGAGTGCATGGGTAGTTTCTTAGTTTTAAAACACAATCAGCCGTTAATAATTTTACTAAAATTTAATGCTAGCCACATTATTTAAATTTCTGAAATATTGACGAAGCCAACGGGTGGACCTAGGGGTAGGGGTGGATACAGGCCACCCCTGAAATCTGAATGGCCACCCTGGGTGCGACCCCAAAACTTGGCTACTTAGAATGCTTCCACCCACTCAACAGGGGGAAAGTAGCTTATCTTATGACCACCAGCAGTGAACCAAAAGGAAACTTAAAAGTTGTTTTTTCATGTCCTCCAGCACCAGGGTTGTGGTTTTGAATGGGTTAGACAAGTTCACAGGTGGGCCCCACCCTGAATTTCACTCCCATGGACTGGGGACATAGGGACATAGTACACAACAGTGTACTAAGTGTCATTCAAACATATCATTTGGGAAAAAAATAAAAAATAAGCAGGAGATAATAGCTTGCTAGAACACAAAAACTCAGAGCTCACAATATAAAAAAGCTTGTACAACTGTATGAATCTAACTCCAAAAAAGTTAAGACAGTAGGAAAAATGTAATTAAAAACAGATAGCAATGATTTGCAAATATTTTTGGACCTGTATTCGACTAAAAACAAGGATAAAGAAAAGATAATGTTTTATCAAATTAATTTTATTGTTTTTGTATATATATACACACACTTTTATATATGCACTTTTATATATAAATACCATTTTAAATTTGATGCCTGCAACATGTTCCAAAAAAGTTGGGACAGGGGCATGATTACCACTGTGTAACATCACCTTGCTTGATATAACACTTCAGCTGCTCAACAGTCTTGGGTCTCCTATGTCATTTATTGTGCTTCATAATGTCCCTACTATTAGTGGGACGAAAAGGGCTGGGTAGCTCGGTTATTTCCCCTGGCTGTACAACAGCTCCCCCTGTGCTCACAGGTTGAATACACAGAAGCAAAGAAAGCCATCCTTCAGAGGGCGGGATGGACACCAGAGCAACACCAACCTCTCAGTCTCTTTCCTTTCCTATTCCCATTCCATGGAGAGGGGGGAGAAATTCCCCCGAAATGTTTTCCCCAAACCAGTACTACATGTACAGGACTGGTCATCTCCTCTCCTTCTCACTTCACAGCCTCTCTCTCCACATGACACCTGCCAAGCCTGCGAGAGGTGGGGTAAAATCTGGTGTGTTGAAGATGCAGGGAACCCAGTCATTTCCAGGATCGGTGTCCACACATGGATCCATGATTCTGTCTTCAATCAAACCACAATACACCAAGGCTTGGTAAAAAAAAAATGGTGTTGGGGAAAGCTTATTAGGTGAAGGTGAGGAGTATTTATGGGTATGTACACAAATATCTGCTGGTGTCTGTCACTCTCAACTTCAGGGGAGAAAAGTATAGTGTCAAGATGGTGGTAAGCCCTTGCCTTACCCATTCTTTGATTATGGGGACTACAGTGACGTGAAAGTATTGGGATAGCACTACATAAATTACTTATGAAGTGGCGTTACCTCTGGGGACGGCTTGGGAATGCCCACGTCTGTATAAGTTGTGAGTTGTTACGTTGTAAGTGAGGATGAACACTGGCCAGCGTGCTCATGGGATAGCAGTGTGTATTTATTTATTATAAAGAGGCTTTACCTCAGGGGCGGCTCGGGAACACCCACACCTGCATAAGCTGTAAGGGGTTATCTTGTGAGTGAGGTCAAACACCAGCTAGTTTGCTC